TTGGGAAGGCAGAACTCGTGTACCACAGCCAGAGTAATGTGGGTAGTGGGTGAAACCCTGATGGGGCTTCAGTGGATGCCTCAGGAGCCCTAGAGGATTCAGTCGAATCCCAGGTTATATTACTTTTAGCATATCGTGGAAAGGTTAGGTTACGCAAGATTAGATTTGGCTACGTTGGCAAGGCAAGGTTAGGTTACATGGGGGATTAGTTTAGTTATGCTAGGTTAGGTTAGGTTAAAGCAGTGTCAACCACGCAATAAATAATCAAACATGGAGACTAACAGAGCACATATTCTACTCATTTTTCTTACAAAAGAAAACGTAAAGGAGACCTGTTTCCAATTGTCGTACCCATAACTCATGCAAAAATGAGATACAAAAATCGCTCACCCACCCTACCACCAATTAGAAAACTAATGAGGGCATAATGTAACCTTCTGTCAGCTCACCTTAATCAATATTAGCTTGACAGCAATCAGTGTTCAGTAACCTAAGTGATCCGATTAATTTGAATCCCTTTTTTCCCATATATTCAAGATAACTTCCTCTATCACAAGGATATCTTCAAGGATATCATATATTCAAGATATCTTCCTCTATTTATCATATAACTCATCATAATATGCTAAGTAATCTCCCATTATCGAAATTTATGTATTTTGCACAAAAGTACATTATCATATCGGAAATCTTCGAACGCGTATCGGGAATTCTTTTACACTTTTTGTCATTAACCCCTCAAAATGGTTCGTTAACCTCTCAAAGTAATTCGTTAACCCTGAATATAGTGTTATTGCTTCTCAAAATAGTGTCTGTAACTCGTCATATAGTTTTTTAACCCCTCAGAATAGTTCGTTAACCCTTAAATTAGTTTCATTGCCTTTAAAAATAGTGTCAATAACTCGTCAAATAGTTCGTTAATCTTCAAAATAGTGTTATTACCTGTATAAATAGTGTCAATAACGCGTTAAACAACCGCAAAATAGTGTCGATAACACTCAAAATGAAGTCGATAACAAACAAAATAGTTCGTTAAACCTCAAAATAGTTCGTAAACTCTCAAAATAATTCGTTAACCCACCAAATTAGTGTCATTACTTCTCAAAATAGCTTCAGTAACTCACAAAATAGTTCGTAAACCCTCAAAATAGTGTCGTCGACTCTCAAAAAGCGTCGTAAACCATCAAAACGGCTTCCTGGACCCCTAAATAGTGCTCTCAGTTCTCAACATAGTGCCGAGAGCTCTCTAAATAGAGCCGACAAATCTCAAAATAGAATCCTAGCTCTTTAAAAGCAGACAAGTGATTTTCAGAATAAAATGCGCCAAAAGTATGATTTATATATCACTCGCTAACCACCAAAAAAATTGGCTGAAAATTATTAAGTAATAATTATAATCAAATTGTTTAGTCTTAGAAACGTTACCAACAGAAAACTCTTTAAACACGCGGGAGTAGTTCTTGGAAACTCATCTGTCATCCTGAAACACTTATCATCAATCAATCCTGGAGGAAGGGATATGGGACGCTCTTAGGGTCGTCTGCATTTCGTAAAAACGCTCCAGCATTCCATGAATATTCATGTGCAGTGCGTTAAACGTGTCCGCAGTCTTCCAAAGCGCGTCGGCAATCCTTGCAAACGTGTTGCTGATCCGCGATAATCCTTAAAAACGTGTCGGGGTTCCACAAAAAGCGCCAAAGTAATCCCCAAAAGCGTCAGCAATTGCTACTGAAGTCGCTGCTGCTGCCGATACGTCGATGCGGATCTTAAAATTAATTTCATATGGATCTTTTCTTTCACATTCTCTTTTTAACGTCCTTTGAGATAAAATTAACAAGGTTATGAGTCTCCCAACTTCTCCTCTACTCCGAAAGAGAACAAATAGTTTAAATAAAACACGAAATAGGACTCTACACGAACTACCAATCATTAACCTGCAGACGCCGAAATCAAATTGCTCTTTTAATGATCGTCGCAAAGAACTTCAGTTCTACCTTGGACTCACAGGATTGCAGTTTTGAATTGGTTAAATATGTGAATTAATTTTGGAGATGCAATATGCTTGTTGCTGGTAGAAGGGAACTTAGAGGAGAAAGCGCCAAGCCATTACGACTATATAGCACTGGGAATGGATCAGGATAAGGATTTGGGATGGGACAAGGGGAAGGAATGGCGGCCAACCACTTTGACGGTCGGAGAAGGAATGGCGGCCAACCACTTTGACGGTCGGGGATTGAACGCCGTCCTGCATGACCGTTGTTGCTGGTAGAGAGGCGGTGCTCTGGCGTCGACCACCACTACCACTACACTGTTGCCTCACCGTGGGGGCCAGGTAGGCTGTAGTTGAGGCGCAGGTTAAGACGGGCGAGGCGCCCTGCCGTCGACCACCGCCAGACAGCATGGCGCCCGTCCTGGCTCTGGACCAGCGCCATACTATCTGAAGGAACCAGAGACGACGAGAATGGAGCATTTAAACATTCTATGATAAATGTTAAGGTTCTTATGAATACCATCTACCGTGAAGTAATTCACGGTAGATGAAATTCACGGTTCACGATATTTTTGTTGCTTAAAGTAAGCAAAGTGTACAGTTTGTATAGGCAACAAGTGATCGTCTCCCGTTCTGGGAGTGATGGGACACCTGCTAGCAGAGGAACTCTTCATATAAATGTTTAGATTCTAAATGGCATTTAAACTTTAAGTTAAATGGCAAGTTTTTCTCTGAATGCTCTGAATTCCCTTCCCTGAGGCTATGGGTCCCTACAATTCAACCAGCGGTGGTACTTATATATATATATATATATATATATATATATATATATATATATATATATATATATATATATATATATATATATATATATATATATATATGTTGTACCTAGTAGCCAGAACGTCGTACTCGGCCCACTATGCAAGGCCCGATTTGACTAATAAGCCAAATTTCCTGAATTTATATGTTTTTCAATATTTTATTCTGATGAAATGATAAAGCTATCCGTTTCATTATGTATGAGTTAATTGTGTTTAAATTTGAGTTAAAAGTAACGTAGATATATTACCGAACCTAACCAACCTTACCTAACCTAACCTAACCTATCTTAACCTAACCTAAACTAACAAAATTAAGTCAATAATTTATGTTATTAATATATTATAATAACAACAAATCAAATAAACTATTTGGAAACATTTTATTGAAAATAAAGAAAATCACTCGGCCTATTAGGCAAATCGGACCTTGCATAGTAGGCCGAGAAGTGTGTTCTGGCTACTAGGTACGACATATATATATATATATATATATATATATATATATATATATATATATATATATATATATATATATATATATATATATACTTTTGGACAATATTCATAGTTCGGTTGTTTAATATTTATCAAAATTCTCCTTAATTTTATTGCGACTTCTACGTTGTTGAAATTGTTGTACAAGTCAGGTACGGTCCGGTTCGTCCCTGTTACCCACGTGAGAGTTCGTTCTCAAGAGGTTAAGGGAGACCCGGGCAAGTATATTTATAGCTGTGGTGGGGGAGGGGGACTTGGCAGGCCCTCCCCCACCTTTACCCCCCCTCCCACCCCACCCAATCAGTACCCCTCCCCCTACCGTCACGACCATTTAGGTACTCCCGCCCACAGAGTACACCCCCCCCCTGGGTACATTCTTTCCTTCAAGGTACACCTCCCTAAAGGTAACCGTCCCATGGTACTCCTCCCTTATGGTACTCCCCCCAACTCCAGGAAAAAACCTCCGCCTCCCCCCCTTCCAAGGTACCAACGTACCAACCACGCTCGTGGAACCCAACACAACCCCCGAGAGTAACCTCCCCACCTCCCCCCACCCTCCAGCATACCTCGCACGACCCCACAAGCTGCACCTGCAGATTTAACCTCCGTCGTTACCTGCAGCCTCCTTCATCGCCTTGTGAGGACGTGGACAGGGGAAACACGCACAAAAACGACGAGGAAGATTGACAGAGATAGTATCAAGATCAACCAAGGTGAAATATGAAAATAGTTTTAGTACTTGCGTTTCGTTTGATGCCTCGTGGGAAATAGAGCATGAAGTCCCCAGGGCCACCAGGGTCGCTAGGGGCCACCAGGGTCGCTAGGGGCCACTAGGGCCACCAGGACCACCAGGACCGCTAGGGGCCACCAGGACCACCAGGACCGCTAGGGGCCACCAGGGCCACCAATTGGAAGGAGGCATATTAAGGCCCACTGACAGGTCAGAGGATGATAACACCAGATATGGATCAATGAAACCATCTATCATAAATAAACCAATATTTGGAAACGTAGCGATAATGAAATTGATTATTTTGATGCTTTCTTCAGCAAAACTAATTAATGTAATTTTGTATTTAAACGATGAAAATAATGTAATAAATACATTTATTTCATAGATGAATGAGTGATGACATATTGCCAGGAGAGAGAGAGTGAGAGAGAGAGAGAGAGAGAGAGAGAGAGAGAGAGAGAGAGAGAGAGAGAGAGAGAGAGAGAGAGAGAGAGAGAGAGAGAGAGAGAGAGAGAGAGAGAGACAGAGAGACAGAGAGACAGAGAGAGAAAGAAAGAACGTGCAGCGCCCCACGGCGTGATCATCCTAGGAACACGTGCTGGTTTGGCAATCCCCACGGGTCGTGTCGCGAGAATCCTCGTCTTCCCTTAATTCTTGCTGTTCATACTGAATTGTCTCGTATCGATGAAAAGCTTTTCGCACCTCACACGCCCGCAAATACCACCCGGCTCTCTCTCCTGGCCGACGTTGTGCGCTGCAAGAGGTGACAACAGTACCGAGTAGCAGTACCAAGGGCAAGCAGTAAGAAGCCTGCTAGTTCTTGTTCTTGGCTTGGTCTCTGCTCGCAGCTGGACACCTTATGGTCGACACGGGCTATATTGAGGGCCACACCCAGGTGTTTGGCGAAGAACTCCTTTTATCTGGGTTCCGGTGTGAACTCATCTCATCTGTGACGTCAGGAGAGGCAGGAATAAAAGCCGGGGGGGCTCGTCGCCAAGACATCAGACAGAACCCAGCCGTTCTCGAGACAAGCACACATCAAGTCCCACCTTGTGGCCTTCTTGTCCTGGTGGAAACATTCTCATTTCCCACCTTCTGGGTTACAGTTTTGGTGTTACATCGTGTTATATACATAAGCCTCCGCCTTCTGGATTACAGTGCGTAGCTTCAATGTGGAATGAGATGGCAGTCTCTCACAGCCCTCTCCGACAAGCATTGCAAGGTAAGGATATTAGATCTGTGCAAATTTGAAAGTGGCTTCTCATAGTGTAAAATCAAACCCGCGAGAAAGTAAACTATTCCTATTGAAAGGATATTCAAATACACTTTTTTTTTTAAGGACTCAAGAATTTCAGTTTCACTAACAGCAAATTCTTTGATGCTTGCAGAAATGGAGGCGAGCAGCAACGGGAGTCTGCACACCATCAAGCTGCTGGAGCTGCCGAGGGTGGAGGTGCTCAACCAGTTCTCCGACGTGCGCCTCCTGGTGGAGTCCAACAGCGGCGCTAAGGTCTACGGAGCCAGACGCCTCCACTCAGGCACCAGCGTCGTTCTCAAGTGTATGCACAAGAAGAACACAAACATGAAGGATTTTATCCGCGAGTTCCACTACAACTATTGCCTCAGTTCTCATCCGAATATTGTGAAATGCTTCGATGAAGCCTTTGAAACATCTGACTCGTATGTGTTTACACAAGAATATGCGCCAGTGAGTGACCTCTCCAAGTTTGTGAAGATAGGCGGGATCGGTGAGACGCGAGCCAAGAGAGTTGTGGAACAGGTAGCCCAAGCTCTCGAGTTCATCCGGAAGCAGGAACTGGTCCATCGTGATATATGCCTGGAAAATATCTTCGTTTTCAACCGAGAAGTGACACGTTTCAAGTTGGGGGACTTCGGCAGCACTCAGCGGGCAGGAGCCCTTGCGCCGAAGATGAAAGTCCGGTCCCCTTGGGCGCCGCCAGAAGTGTACCGGGAGGGTTACCGCGTCCACAGCGGCCAGGACGCCTGGCAGCTCGGGATACTCATCTACATGTGCCTGACGGGGTCATATCCGTGGTCCTTAGCCGACACAACGGACTGTAACTACAGCGCGTGGGTGGCTTGGCTCAAGCGCAAGACCACAAAGGTGCCACCTCGATTCAGGTGCTTCACTCCTCGCCTTCTACGACTCTTGCGTTGCTTGCTGCATCCCAACCCAGACAACCGTACGGGCATGGGCAAGGTGAACAAGCACCTCTCTTGTTCATGGCTGGTGAAAGAAGCGCAAGACTTCGGCATCTCAATGGATAGCCCCACAGAGTTCATGTATAATCAATCGCTGTTTAATCGTGCATGGAGGAAACTGACTGAGTTATTTCATTTCCACACTCACCGGACCGGTCATCGGGAGGTCAACAAGTCGAGCTCCCGCCAGATCTCGACGACGGCTCAGGAGTAACGCCCTAAAACAGCGTTACACCTCAAACGTTCCAAATAAACAGGATTCCAGATCTCATTAAAATGTCGTATCACTGAAGTGGGACGCAACCCGGCCTTGAACCCTTGCTGCTGTGGTGGTGCCTCTGAAGCAGGTCAGACGCCGCCCTCGGCCTTCCCTGTCGGGGACAGTACCGCAAGGTTCTCAGTGTGGTTCAACTGTGATATAATCTGCCTCTTCGGCCACACCGTTGACTGTGTACCTCAGTCACACCCGGCCACACCGTAGTATTACTTAGTATAACCTGGAAATGTGCAGTATTATTTATTTTATCTTGCGTATGTATTTACGCACACACACTCACATACACACATTCTCCCTTGCACACTTACATACATACACAGACTCACACACACAGACTCGGGGCCTCGTAGCCTGGTGGATAGCGCGCAGGATTCGTAATTCTGTGGCGCGGGTTCGATTCCCGCACGAGGCAGAAACAAATGGGCAAAGTTTCTTTCACCCTGAATGCCCCTGTTACCTAGCTGTAAATAGGTACCTGGGAGTTAGTCAGCTGTCACGGGCTGCTTCCTGGGGTGAGTGTGTGTGTGGTGTGGGGAAAAAAAAAGTAGTTAGTAAACAATTGATTGACAGTTGAGAGGCGGGCCGAAAGAGCAAAGCTCAACCCCCGTAAAAACACAACTAGTAAACACACATACACACATAAACGCTCATATACGCACACACACACATTCTCCCTTGCGCACTTACATGCATACACAGCCACACACACACACATACCAATTCACATATTCCACTGTGTGTATATATCCACTCTATTTATAAGTCATTTATAAGTATTCCAGATGAAAAATGTTGACTACAGCTGCTGTTTAAGGGCTGTAAACATTCCTTTATACATAATATATTTTCTGACTTACGACCTAAGATATAACTTTCACTAACATTTGTGATAATAAATGATCGCAGTTTCACCTTCTTTTAATAATTCCTTCAAATATATAACGGACGAAGTTTACATTTCAGACGAAATGTATAACAAAAGTGTTGGACTTAAGGCCTATCAACCTCTAGCAGGTTATTAAGGCCACCACAAGAGCTTACTGACCAACCAAAATGTATACTTTACTGCTGAACACAGTCAAGGACTAAAAGTAAACTTTCAGTGCATATATATATTAATATATATATATACACCGTTGCATGGGCTTCACCCCTCCTTCAACATATCGCTGAACTTGCGCTACTCAGGTTAAAATATCGCTTTACTGAGGCTCCGAAGCCACTAGCGTGAGAGTAGACCATCGTAGATGCGTCAGGACAAACAGAAACCTTGTTTAACTTATTGTATAAGAATACGTGAATTATTAGATGATAAATAGGCAAAAGAAGGAGCGGTAATACACACCAAGTATATTGATTGATGATATATATTAGGCACGATATATATATATATATATATATATATATATATATATATATATATATATATATATATGTCGTACCTAGTAGCCAGAACGCACTTCTCAGCCTACTATGCAAGGCCCGATTTGCCTAATAAGCCAAGTTTTCATGAAATAATTGTTTTTCGACTACCTAACCTACCTAACCTAACCTAACCTAACTTTTTCGGCTACCTAACCGAACCTAACCTATAGAGATAGGTTAGGTTAGGTTAGGTAGGGTTGGTTAGGTTCGATCATATATCTACGTTAATTTTAACTCCAATAAAAAAAATTGACCTCATACATAATGAAATGGGTAGCTTTATCATTTCATAAGAAAAAAATTAGAGAAAATATATTAATTCAGGAAAACTTGGCTTATTAGGCAAATCGGGCCTTGCATAGTAGGCTGAGAAGTGCGTTCTGGCTACTAGGTACGACATATATATATATATATATATATATATATATATATATATATATATATATATATATATATATATATATATATATATATATATATATATGTCGTACCTAATAGCCAGAACGCACTTCTCAGCCTACTATTCAAGGCCCGATTTGCCTAATAAGCCAAGTTTTCATGAACTAATGTTTTTTCGTCTACCTAACCTACCTAACCTAACCTAACCTAGCTTTTTTTGGCTCCCTAACCTAACCTTACCTATAAATATAGGTTAGGTTAGGTTAGGTAGGGTTGGTTAGGTTCGGTCATATATCTACGTTAATTTTAACTCCAATAACAAAAAATTGACCTCATACATAGAGAAAAGGGTTGCTTTATCATTTCATAAGAAAAAAATTATAGTAAATATATTAATTCAGGAAAACTTGGCTTATTAGGCAAATCGGGCCTTGAATAGTAGGCTGAGAAGTGAGTTCTGGCTACTAGGTACGACATATATATATATATATATATATATATATATATATATATATATATATAATATGTCGTGCCTAATAACCAGAACGCACTACTTAGCTTAGTATGCAAGGTTATTTTGCCTAATAGGCACAGTGATTTTCGTTATTTTAACGACAAATTTCCAATTGGTATATTATTAATATTATAATTATTATATTAATTAATATTATTATATTAGTTATAATATATTATAATAATTATAAATATTATTATATTAGATTAAGAACAAGAATTACTGACTTGGTTAGGTTAGGTTAGGTTAGAATAGGTTAGGATAGGTTAGGTTTGGTCATATTTCTACGTTAGTTTTAACCCAAATAAATTAAAATCATACCAATAGCAATACACAATCACTAAACGCACTTAATAACAAGAGAAAAGAGAGATGAACGACTTCTTGGAGCGTCGACTGGATACAAGACAACACAGCTGCAAGTGTACACAAGAGGTTAGAAGGTCCTTATAAGACCATGGAGGGATACAGTCCCCTTGGCAATGTGGTAACACACTCGCCTTGTGTTTCGCGAGCGCTTTGGCCTGGGTTCGTATCCTGGCCGGGGAGGATTTAAAGGGCGTCAGTCCTTTAACTGTAGCCTCTGTTCACCCAACAGTAAAATGGGTATCTGGTTGTTAAATGGGCATCGGGTCGTATTCCAGGGAACATATGATTAAAAACTTGCCCGAAACGCTATGTGTGCTAGAGACTGTGTAAGAATGTAAGAACTCTTTAGTATATAACAAAATGAATAAAATAATGGAATATAACTTAAGCAACACTCAGCTTATTAGGCAAATCGGGCTTTGCATAATAGGCCAAGTAGTGCGTTCTGGCTATTAAATACAATATATATGTATATTTATTTTTAGGCTTGTTGGGTAGAGCCTCTTCGCCTTGGTTGCAATTCTCAGGCTGTGAACTATTTGGCAATGGTTGGCACATTCTCCTCCTTGCATTGGAGAGATCTTGCTCACGGTTAGTGAAGGAAAAGGAGGAGGAGGGTTGCAACACTGGATGACCCACGGGAGGGGGTTGCAACACTGGATGACCCACGGGAGGAGGTTGCAATACTGGATGACCCACGGGAGGGGGTTGCAACACTGGATGACCCACGGAAGGGGGGTTGCAACACTGGATGACCCACGGGAGGCGGGTTGCAATACTGGATGACCCACGGGAGGAGGTTGCAATACTGGATGACCCACGGGAGGGGGGTTGCAACACTGGATGACCCACGGGAGGGGGGTTGCAACACTGGATGACCCACGGGAGGGAGTTGCAACACTGGATGACCCACGGAAGGGGGGTTGCAACACTGGATGACCCACGGAAGGGGGGTTGCAATACTGGATGACCCACGGGAGGAGGTTGCAATACTGGATGACCCACGGGAGGGGGGTTGCAACACTGGATGACCCACGGGAGGGGGGTTGCAACACTGGATGACCCACGGGAGGGAGTTGCAACACTGGATGACCCACGGGAGGGGGTTGCAACACTGGATGACCTACGGGAAAGGGTTGCAACACTGGGTGACCCACGGGAGGGAGTTGCAACACTGAATGACCCACGGGAGTTGCAACACTGGATGACCCACGGGAGTTGCAACACTGGATGACCCACGGGAGTTGCAACACTGAATGACCCACGGGAGTTGCAACACTGGATGGCCCACGGGAGTTGCATCACTGAATGACCCACGGGAGTTGCAACACTGAATGACCCACGGGAGTTGCAACACTGAATGACCCACGGGAGTTGCAACACTGGATGACCCACGGGAAAGGGTTGCAACACTGGATAACCTATGGGAGAATATGCTGATGTCAGTGTGTGTGTATTCACCTAGTTGTGCTTGCGAGGATTGAGCTCTGCTCTTTCGACCCGCAGAAAGAGCTTTTCTGCGGGCCTGTCAACTGTCAATCATCTGTTACTAACTACTAACTAATTTATTTATTTATTTATTTTCCACTCACACACACACAGGAAGCAGCCCATAACAGCTGTCTAACTCCCAGGTACCTATTTACTGCTAGGTAACAGGGGCATAGGGTGAAAGAAACTCTGCCCATTGTTTCTCGCCGGCGCCGGGAATCGAACCCGGGCCACAGGATTACGTGTCCATCGTGCTGTCCACACAACCACCGCCGCCCCCTGTGTGTGTGTGTGTGTGTGTGTGTGTGTGTGTGTGTGTGTGTGTGTGTGCATAATTGATCACATAATTGAGGTTAAAAGCTAAGGGGCCATCCACACGGAGTTTCCAGCTCTTTACATGTATTTATTGTAAATATATATTTTGAGAGGCTTCTGTTGGCTCTGGTCCCGTTCGACTCCCTCCCTGGTCTTACATAACGACCTCCTAACCTCTTGTGTACACTTGCAGCTGTGTCGTCTTGTTGATACAAGACGCTCCAAGAAGTCATTCATCTCTCTTTTCTCTTATTATTAAGTGCGTTTAGTGATTGTGTATTGCATTGGTATTTTCTGTTTGTGCTTGCGGGATCGAGCTATTGATGTACTGATGTCTAATGTACTGACTCCTGACCTACTTTCCCCCTATAATGCTACATATATTTTTCTCTAACACATATACACACATCCCCAGGTTGCAGCCCGTAGTAGCTGTCTAACTCCCGGGTACCTATTTACTGCTATGTGAACAGTTGCATCAGAGTGAAAGAAACTCTGCCCATTGGTTTCTGCCTCGGCCTGGAATCGAACTCGGGCCCTTAGGACTTCGACGCCCGAGCGCTATCCTCTCAGCCTCGAGGCCCATTTGTGTACTCGTCTAGTTGTGCTTGCGGGGGTTGAGCTCTGGCTCTTTGGTCCCGCTTCTCATCTGTCAATCAACCGGTGTACAGTGTGTGTGTGTGTATTCACCTAGTGTGCGTGTGTGTGTGTGTGTGTGCGCGCGCACTCATTTTGTACTCACCTAGTTGTTCTTTCAGGGATCGCCTTTCAATAGTGATTTGTGTCTTCATTTGCTTTTCATACCATATTTCCATTTAATGCTGTGTATCGGAGTGACTTCGACAACT